GTCTACGAAGGTGCTCTATGACGATTTGCAATCAAAAAATAACTTCAAAAATCAGAAATCAAAAGCTTCAATCTATTTTATAATAGGTACCTACTAGTATCATTTATCTATTGATTAAAATCAATAAAAACTGATCATAAATTAGTTATAACATAACAGTAGCTCTTGATTAAATTAAAGAGGTCAAAGCTCCTATAATGACTTCGTACCTACTACTAGTGGCGTCAAAGCTAACAAGTTAATGGGTTTGTTAGGTAACGAGTTTCTATACCCGGCACAGGCAAAGTATTTATTATTAATTCACACAAATTAGGATAGCTACATAGACGCTGACTATTTTTTCCTTTTTTTAACCTTGTTTTTCTCCTGTGTCGTGGATGCGTGTGTAGTGTCATACATGTTCAATGTGATGTCTATGTGATTACATAGAAATGGAATCCGCGACACGTTACGTAGCAGCCAATGTGCAAATTTTTGTTGTACCATTTTTTATTTATAAGTTACCTATGTTTTTATAATAATTATCGTGAGACTACTAAATTAACTAAAAATCTCGGGTTACCTATTCACGTGAATATACTGAGAAAAGCTCTACCAGTTTCGAATCACAGAGGGGTTGCGCGACATCATCGCGGTCGCGCACGCTGCTCATGAGGAAGAACCCCTAAATGGTTCGAGCTTTTCTCAGTATATGTATTCATGTAAGTAACCCGCGATTTTTAGTTTATTTATAAGTTACCTATGTTATGGATCCCATGTGTGAATTACAATTTTTATATGCAAGGACGTCAAAATTACTTAGGTTATAATTTTATGTTTGTACTTACAAATTCACAATTTGGAAATCGAAAACTCAATAGAAACGCTTAACTTCGGGATAATTATCCCGAACTTTAAATCGAATTAAGTAAAGTCAAAAACTCTTTTTTAACAGGTAAACAAGAAATACAACGCGAACCTGTGGTTCTGGTACTTCCCAGTGTCAGGTAAATCTGTGGAGGATACTCCATGGATCATCTGGCTCCAAGGAGGACCCGGTGCTTCCTCACTGTATGGCCTCTTCACAGAAATCGGACCTTTCTTCGTCTCCACCGAAAATAATTTGGAAGGTAGGTAATTGATACCTCGACATCCTGTTCATTGCTTGCCTGAAAATTAGATTTTTTCTATATTAGAATTCGACCTTTACATACCTGGCAGTCGCTGTCCCTCATGTGATTACTGGCAAAATGTTAGGTACTTAGGTACCTTAATGTTGTTTTTATGGCATAAGCCAGTAAACGAGCAGTCGGATCACCTGATAGTAAGCAATCGGCGTCGCCTATGGACACCTGGAACACCAGAGGAGTTACAAGTGCGTTCCAATCCCCAAAAGGCCCTTTTGGGATCCTTTTGGGGATTAGGAGTTTGAGGATCGTTGGGGATTCAGGAATTGGGAGACTAAGGAAGGGGAGGGTAATTGGGCCTCCGGTAACCTCACTCACACGACGAAACACAACGCAAGCGTTCCTTCACGTCGGTTTTCTGTGAGGTATGTGAGGTTCTGTGAGGTAATATACCTCTACTTATTACTCACCTATTTTATTTTGTTTTAGAAATTCGCTACTCTTGGGGTAAAAACCATTCGTTGCTGTTCATCGACAACCCAGTGGGAACTGGATTCAGTTTCACTGATGACGACAGAGGGTATGCTACCAATCAAACCACGGTCAGTTAAATAATATTTTCGGATAACAAATAAGTCAATTAAGTATTTTCCTTTTTAGAACACATAAATTAAATCTATATTTCCATACTACAGATCGGAGAGAACCTATACAACGCTTTGCAGCAGTTCCTTACCATTTTCCCTGAACTCCGGAAAGCCCCCCTCACTATTGCTGGAGAGTCTTATGCCGGTAAACATATACCTTCCCTCGGAGTACAGATCCTGTGGCACAAGCATGAAGACGAGCCTATTAATCTACAGGTAAGACGTTTTCCTATGACGTCATCACCGTCTTTTGGTTGGCTTCCGTAGGTTAACTAGTTTCATATCAATGTTATTTCTAGATCGTCTTAAGAGGTAGACAAAATGTTCTGCTCTTGAAAAGTCAATCTCTTGGTTAACAGGTTAATCAGAAAGATCTGTTTACATTTCTTTGCTTGTATATTTTACATGACCAAAGGGAAAGTGAAAGGATGTGTGAGTTTAATAATCTCCCTCTAATTCTAAACTCTCTTCTTAATTCCAGGGTCTGGCTATCGGCAATGGTTTCATCGATCCCGTATCCCTGCAAAGATACAGTCACTTTGTGCGTGAGGTCGGACTAGTAGATGACAATGTAGCCAAGTCCATGAACGATCTGGAGACAGCGGTCATGCAGTTCATCAATAACGGAGAGATGGTGAAAGCTTACGCGGTGAGTTTAAACTAGAGGTAAATTGAGTCATCTAAATCTTTCATTCTCCGCATAGTGTAAGTACAAAGTGCCTTTAATATAGCACAGAGCAAACCACAAAGCTACTTTAAGTCATTAAGTGGCTGACTTGGAATCAAAGTCTTTATTTCACTTTTCATTTTTACATGAGCCACTGTGAATTATGTAATAAATATTTATTTTCAGTACTACAACTATCTGCTCCAACTGTTCCTGTCTCGTTCATACCTTTCGAACCTGTACAACTACTTGCAAGACGACATTGACCTAGAAGGCGCTTACATGGATTATATTCAGAGGACTGAAGTCCGCAAGGCGTTACATGTTGGCAACACCAACTTCACATCCATTGGCGTTGTGTATCGCAAGCTTGTACCGGACTTTATGGGAAGCGCTAAAATGTGGCTCGAAGAACTGCTTGAAAACTATAGGGTGATGCTTTACAAGTAAGTTGTCCAGAACTTAAATTGTAGGTACCTACCAATTGATTAGTCTCCTTCCGGTACTTCCAATGAGAACCTACTTTTCTTCTGAAATGACACATGCCTAAAACGAATAATATTGTTTCCAGTGGTCATTTGGACATCATAGTGGCATACCACCCGTCATGCAGTACTTACAGTTCGTTATCATTCTCCGGATCAGCAGCGTACGCGAAGGCCAAACGAACTCCCTGGTATCATGATGGAAAATTATCTGGGTAAGGAAAACTAAAGCTTTGTACACAAAAATTATACGGATATTGTCCATTTTAGATTCTGGATGTAGCTTCTATACAATATATTTTAAGGATGCCTAAATGATCCCCAAAACCTTATTCTCTAGATAGGTATTATTCAACTATGCAAAAATAGAGTGCTACAAATATTTTTATTTTTATAGCTATTACCGAGAGGCCGCCAACCTTACAGAAGTTATGATCAGAGGTGCCGGACATATGGTGCCCGCGGACAAGCCAGCAGCTTCCCTTGGCCTCATCTCAGCGTTCGCTCGCGGCATATCTCTGAAGGAAGATACCGCCAGCCTTGTGGATTCAGGAAAAAACTTGCTGCGACGACGTCAATTGCCACTGAAGTAGTAAATTCGATGTTACTAAACACTTATTTTTTGGTTATGATTGGAATTGTTTTGCACCATGGAATGGATCTTTAATGAAATAAATTGTCGAAATACCTAGCGTGTTTGCGGTTTTATTTAATTTATACAACATAATATCTATACTTTAATATATCTTCTATATCTATATATAGATGGACAACATGGCTGAAATTAGGCATTCAGGTAAATGTTGTGACGTAGGTACGCATTTACTAAGAAACGATTTTGAACATTTCCACCCCAATGGGGTAAAATGGGGAGTGAAAGTTGTATGACACTTTGTCAGTTTTAAATAGATCGGGCTGAGACTTTGCATGCATAAAATTACTATGACATAGGTATCTCTTTAGAAAGGATTTTGATAAATTCCACCCCTAAGTGGATAAAATAAGGAATGAGAGTTTGTATAAATCTTCTTCTAGCATCATTGAATCTTTTTGTGTTACATTCGGTAAAACGGTAATTTGAGACCGATATATGATAGTTTTTATCATAGAAGTCCCACGGGAACGGGAACTATGCGTTAATGCCGCGGGACTCACTATCTCTTAACCACTGAATTTATTTTAGAGAGATTCGGTACAAAAATAGTTGATAGAATAGTTTTTATCATTCAAATCTTACGGGAATATGCACTGTACTGGTGAAATCCCTGCGGGTTTATTTATTTTTTGAAATCACTTTAAATACAATTATTTTCACAATAATTCTTACTGAGGCACTGCATCGATTCTGATCAATTCTGTCAGAGGTCATTATTCTACGCGGACGAAGTCGCGGGCAACAGCTAGTTCTGTAATATATTCCTTGCTACTACAAATACTAAAAAACTTAGTAATCGAAAGAGACCTATATTATAACTCTACATAGTTTTTGGCACAAAACTAAGCAAGGTTACTTTGTAACATGTCGCGGGTTCGTTTCTCGCATAGAACATTTTCAATTCTTAATAGATCCACACATTACTGTTGTTCGCAGTTTAAACACTTAGTAGGTACTTACTCATGAATACATAATGTACGAAGTGTTTATAAATGCACCCATAACTCCACGAAGCAGAGGAAATTCTTTCTGATCTAGAAAAACTTACAACCTCAGGCACCCAGGGAGGCCCTCTGCACTCAACTGATCAATTTAGTTAGATTTTGTTTCGATTTTACTGTCTTTTTGTTTCTCCTTCCCCACAGCGAACTTTATGAGATCCTTTTGTCTACTTTATAATTCATTTTTTTTATAATATTTATTATTTAATGCAGGTAGAAATAAATTGATCTGAACCTTGGATCTGAAATGAAGTATTTACCATTCAACAATCATCCAGAAGTCAACGTCCTTGTTGGATATTTACCATTTTATCATCGCACAGTTGGTCATATGCACAAATGTGTCCAATATCTTTTAGTAAGAATAACGAGAATTTCAGCGTTTATTTAAAAATTGACAACACTGTGATCTTGGTATTTGTTTTTTACAACTCAGCAACACTGCTATTGGTGACGTTTCCGAGAGTGCGCAGGCAAAAGAGAATATTCATCGAAATAAAATAAGATTTAAATAGTTATTTATCTCTTTAATTGATGAAGTGATGATATTAATTATGATTATGTAGTTTTTCACTTTAAGTACGGAGTAAATAACTGTATTTGCATAGTATTTTAGCAACGGAAGTCGTGTAATAACATCACGTCATGTCGTTGTATGTGGTTTGCGCATTGCTGCTTTTGACGCCTATTCGAGCATTTTATTTGCCGGGTTTGGCTCCAGTAAACTATTGTATAGCTAGCGATGACACTAGTAAATCTTGCAAGGTGAGCAACCATTCTCTTTTCTAATTGGAATCATATAAACAATCAATATAATCCTAAACCGATTCATGCATGTCTTCGGAACCGAAATGCTTTTGCTTACATTCATAAAATTCAATTCATTGTGTTGTGGTTGTAAATAGGGCACAAATATTATCATATTTAACATAGCAACCATGTTTAGTTTAGTACATCTGTTTTAGGCTTTCAAAACTAATAGGAATCTGATAAAGATTTTCAATGAGCGCATCGGAGAGGTAATTAACGTGTCGTAAATCTTTCGTTCATGTTTCAGACGGAAATCCCGCTGTATGTAAATAGATTGAACACAGAAGAATCAGTAATTCCATTTGAGTATCACCACTTTGATTTCTGTACTACTGATGAAAGTCAATCGCCTGTGGAGAATCTCGGTCAGGTCGTCTTCGGCGAACGAATACGGCCGAGTCCTTACAAGCTCGAATTCCTTAAAAATGTGGAGTGTAAGCCTGTATGCACGAAGACATATAGAGGCTCAGACTCAGATTCCAACAAACGGTTGAATCTACTGAAGATGGGCATGGCTCTCTCTTACCAGCACCATTGGATCCTAGACAACATGCCTGTGACTTGGTGTTACTTGGTTAATGAGGGAGGAAAGACCTACTGCAGTACTGGGTTCCCGATGGGCTGCCAAGTGCGCAAAGACATGGTGAGTTAAATGCCTATATTTTGAACTAAAGTCTGTGGTAGAACAATGTCTATGTTATAACAGACTACATTACTCCAGCAGATTTCAAAAAAATCTAAAATGCACTGGTAAAATGTTATTAATTAATTTTCAAATTGGTGAACCTTAATTGAGGCTTGAATTGAAAGAAACCAAGACCCACTTGTATGAAATCACTAAGTTCATGTTCATATGCCATCCGATTATTTCCAAATCAGTTTTAATTATTTAAATATTTGTATTTGTAAAACGCTTTAAACTTTCACAAGTTTATTTGAACATACAAGACATCTCAATTAGTTATGTTTGTATTCATAATTAAAAGGTCAATTATTTCAATCAACAAATGTAATATATAACTGAGTGAAAGTTCAATATTTGAATAGTTTGAAACATGAATATTATACTTACGACAGCATAATGCAAAAAAATAGTCTGATAAGAGTGCCCCTAAAGGTGTTATCAATTTCTATTAAACTTTTATGGGTTATTGGAGGTCATAGAATGCAAAAAAATACTATAATATCCAAATTACTAACAAATGGAAAATATCATTGAAACTTTTAATTGGGCTTCGATCCTTGATAAGATTTAATTACCAAGTCTTAGCACAACATTATATTTAGTTATGTTTGAACTTCCTGTAATATGTATCTGACGATCTCCGGCCACCGTAAGCGCGGGCCTGCGGACGGCGAGCATGGGTGGCTTCCCGTCCGACCAGAAACAGACCCGAGCGTACGGCGCGTCGCGTTCCGCGCGCGCCTCAAAGAGCCATCAGACCACCACAGATGGGGCCCAATACGGCCGATGCCGATTCGGAGTCGCGGAGAACCTAACGGGTAACCGGGGCTCCGACTCGACGTGCAGGAGAAGGAACGGGGTGGTTTTTAGTCAGTAAGAGTCTGACACAAAAGCGTCATACGAAGATTTTCCCCCCTTAAAAAAAAAATAGGTCTATACGGATAAATAAAATTGAAGTTTGTTTGTAGTATTAACATAAGTGCTTTTTACTACATGCATATGAATATACATACAATACACTTACCAAAATAATATTTTTTACATTTTTGTCTGTCTGTTTGTACTGTCTAACCTCTGTAATGGCTGGACCGATTTTACATGACTTTTATTGCCAGGTAGCTGATGTACTAAGGAGTAAAATAGGCTACTTTTATTTTGGAAAATAGAAAAATAAAACAAGTTATGTTCTAAAATTCATATTCTACACAAATGAAGCTGTGAGCAACAGCTACGTTTGTCCATTCTAGTTTTTCAATCATATTGTAACAATTATCTGTGTATGTTATTGGTTAAATTTATATGAAACCATTATGTACAATAGATATAATTTGTACATATCTCAATTATACTATGTCATAATTTTATTATAAAAAAACTATTATAGACATACCTAGTTAATATTATTAAAATCCACAGGTGAAATTTCATGCACTGTGTTCCTTCACTATACAAAAGGTGATGTAATGTGTGTATGTGAAATAAAAATCATGCTTACCTTCCTCACAAAAAAGCTCAGTTTAGTTCACAGCCATGGAAGGTAGTAGATCAATTGTTATTGTGTACTTCTATTGATTAAACAATTAGAATCTATTTATTATGGTTATATTATAAGGTCTTGATTGTGGATAGTCAATTATTTTGGTATTTTATTTTATCATCACTACACTTTCACCATATTTACTCACAAGACATTCTCCGCTGAACATAGTCTTCCTGTAAGCAGCTCTGTAAGCAATTCTTTCGAATAAAAAGATATTTAATTCTAACAAAATGACGCTTTTTTAAATGCTTGATAGCAGTCTGATTTATCTTTCCATCGTCTTATTGTATTTTTATTTATCACATACCATTTTCCATTTGGGCGAAAATAAAAGTGGTACTTTACTGTATGATGTTATACCTACTTCACTCAAACAAAATATTGCGAATACCCATTTGATATTTGGTTCAGCCTCAACTAATTCACATAGGCAGTAAGAGTTTGACAGCCTCCTTTTGTATTCCCCCATGAAAATAGGCGAAGGAGTTCCATAAGTACTTTCCGCCCTGGAATTAAATAAATCATGAAAGATAAAACCCTTCACAATAAATTATCAAATATAACGAATATATTATAATATGTACACATCAGCTACTTCTATGCAGTAAGAACTTCTTTGTAATGTAATTAAAACAATGTTTGTAAAGAATCTATCGGCGTTTACGTCGTGAGTAGACTATTTAAACAGTTGGTGTTGCAACTAGCTATATACCAGACTTATGTTATAGGCCATTTGAATGCTAAGTTTGAACTTGAATTAATAGGTACAAATGATACAATATTTTATAACAATATATGTATGCTTGCCGACATGGTCTATCCTTGTATAGGTAGTAACTAAATGGTATGACATGACTTATTTATTACATCGTCATCAAAAGTGTAATAGGGATGTTGACGAGATAATCTAATACTTTGGTTAAACAAACAGATGTACGATAAATAATATTGAGTTGTGTCTTGTATTTGATTTTTTTTTTGTTTTTTGGCAGCTAGATTTCTATCTAGCTGCCAAAAAACAAAAATTGGATAATTTTATGACCCTTCTGGGTATCTGCAAAGGCAGTTATCATTTTTGTGTATTTAAAATTGTAGTTCAGATTTCAATTATGGATAAGCCCAAAATTACATTTTATATATAACTCAGACTGTGTGTATTGAACTGTAGAACAAACTTAAATACTTATATTCACTATGATAATTGTTAGAAATTTTATCAGTAACGTTATTTGTCAATTAGTGCCATTTAATGTTATCGCGTTTACCAGTTGTTCTAACTACGTTTTCAAATACATTTTTTGTTACATTTCTGTAGCATGTTGAATTCGGTATTATTTAGTAGGATGTGTCATTTTAATTAAATACGATGTGTCATTTTAGTTATATGAAGATAATTATCTATATTACTGATAATTCTACATTGAAATCGTGTCATACTTATCTCTACAAGATTGGCATTTTTTATAAATGCTTCATAACAACTGCATTGGCTAGCAAAGCATTAACGCAAGTTAGAAGTTCTACCTAAACTTTCCGTAGTGCCTAGTGCATCTACTTCTTTTAGTTATGAGCTTTTAAGTTAAACGTTAACATGTCATCATTAGTAGCGTGCGTTGATTTATTTTCATTAGAAAACACGTCAGAATTTGGTAGTAGTTTTTAGTCAGTATGTAGGATATTCTAAATTATCTAATGATAATTGCAACCGCAATGTACAGAAATAAAATTTATTATAATGTAAAATAGTTATAGATACGAATTTCCGGCTTGTTACTGATTATTCGGCTTCCATCATGAAATAAGTTTTTTAATCGTAAAATGATAATGATAACTGTCATAAATTAATCAGAATTAAACTAACTCGCGTGCAATTATACTAATACTGAAAGGCTAACTTATACTTAAAAAAGTGCCGTGGAGAACTTAACGGGTTACCGGGGCTCCGGCTCGAAGTGCAGGAGAAGAAACGGGCTGGTTTTTAGTCAGTAAGAGTCTGACACTCCCTCCCGCCTCACCCAGGCGGGAGAAGTCATTCGATGACTTTCCCCCCTTCAAAAAATACTTAAAGAAAGTGCCTTTTACAAATAATTTGTAGTGACAGAATTATACTTAAACGCGATCTAAAATTGAGTAGCGAGTGAGCGAGTATTTGGGCAATAGTGAATCTTATTAATTATAAATTAATCAGAATACATTTCTGTCGGAAGTATCGAGTATACCTATTTAGAATCTGTTTAATTTTATAGGTTCAAAGAACACGAATTTGAAGCTGCCTTATTCGAATGTTTAAAATAGAATGTCTATTTTTTACCATGCCATGAGTGGGGAAATCGTATAAGTAAATGAAATTAATTTTGATTTTGTAAATTGAATGGGTCTCCAGTAAATTCTTACTAATGATATATTGTTGTCTTTTTTGATACATCACAGATGTACCAGAGGAGAGTATGAAATCGGATACTTTAAGCCCTAAAATGAAATCAATTCACAAGGGATTCTGATAAGCGCGATAAATGAAACCTACGCAGTTAATCGTGCGCCTAGCAACATTTTTTACAGATTATTATAACCACAAACCATTAATATTAGCTATTTGTGTTACTTACATTAAATTAATTGGTATCATTAAAATACAACGTTTAATATTTTAGGGTCGCATTGATAAAGATTGAAACAATAAAAAAGGATCGTTATAAATTCAATTTATCCGGTTAACGATCAAAATTGTAATTATTTTCAAGTCTTATCGAAGGTCTTTTCTAGCACCCAACAACAAAACTGATTGTAGAATGTTCAGGTTATTTGGACCAATCCTTTATAATGTACCTAATTGTATTTTTTATTCCGAGGCCCATTTCCAGATACATTGTTGTCAATACATACATACATTAAGAACGACGTAATCTCAACGCTAGTCATAAAATTATCCAATTTCACAACATGAAACTGTTTATTTTATACGTTATAACTTACAGTAGTAAAATACCATGAATGTATTTTGTTCTAGGACACATGCACACCGATTGTGAACGGCCATTCAAGTCGTATTGGCGCTTATTACCTTTTCAACCATGTAGACTTGGAGATCACGTATCACAGCGGTAGTGAAGAGGAATGGGGCGTTGCATTCGGTGAAAATGGCGGTCGAATTATATCTGCTAAGGTAATTTGAACTTTATGTTCTAGGTACTATAGAATTTTGATTAGATTGCCCAAAAATTCAAAATTCACTAAAAAGTATTTTATATGTAAATTTTAAAGGGACATAATACAACAAGACATCTTGCGTTTGAAATTTGAATTAAAAAGAGTAAACGCGTAGAGATCAATGATCTATGGTATGTCGTATTACCGTATTGTATTTCATAATATTTGTACATGTTTTCAGGTGAAACCAGCCAGCATTCGACACACAAACCCATTAAAACCGGATTGTTCTGCCCGTGGTGCTGAACTACTCATACCAACTGAAATAGATTCCGACAAAGTCTTCAACATCACATACACTTACAGTGTTACCTTTAAAAAGAACAACACTATCAAATGGTCTTCACGATGGGACTATATCCTCGAGTCTATGCCACAAACGAACATACAATGGTTCTCCATTCTAAACTCCTTGGTGATAGTCTTGTTCCTCAGTGGTATGGTTGCCATGATTTTACTGAGGACTTTGTACAAAGATATTGCGAGGTACAACCAAATGGAATGTGGTGAAGATGCACAGGTAAGCAACTTCACAATTGATTGTTTTAACTTTCACATTTGACTTTGGGTTTAATGTTCACTCCAGTGGTTAATTCACTTCTTCAAATATTGTGTTTATTGTAATTGCAGGAAGAATTTGGCTGGAAGTTGGTGCACGGTGACGTATTCCGTCCTCCGCGGCGTGGTATGCTGCTGGCTGTCTTCCTCGGATCTGGATCTCAGGTACTTCAACACGTACTAATTCAAATAAATAGAGCTAGACGACCTCTTAAGTCAAGTGGTCACAATCGATATTTTTAGTGTAAGCTACGCAATATTTGGGTTTCGGTATCGATTTCTTCGAAGCGAAAGGATACTAGAATCGTATCCTGTGTTAATTGGCATCCTTGGAAGTGAAGAATACAATATTTTACCGATAAATAATTAATACGATTATGCTTATTTACCATACGCGTAAGACACGCACTTTTGCATGATATTTGTTATTCAAACGATTGTGTTTTTGTATGGTTGATATTTAGGAGTAAACATAGCTACGGATGGATTCTTGGCTTTGATTCAGAGGTCGAACAAAAATAATATTCGAATGATTGACTTACACCTTTCTCCCATGGGCGGAAACAGAAAGAGAGCGCCACCTGGTACATACTTATTCTGGTTTACCTTTATATTTCGTCACATTCTTGAACCCGGTCATACAAGTACGCCATAGGTTACACAGTTAAACGTATCATTATTTCCAGGTGTTCGGCATGACCTTGGTGACTCTAGCGTTTGCTTGCCTGGGTTTCCTGTCCCCGGCTAACCGCGGTGCTCTGATGACGTGTGCGCTGGTCGCCTGGGTATTGCTCGGAGCTGCCGCTGGTTACGTCAGCGCTAGGATCTACAAGAGCTTCGGCGGCAGGAGGTGGAAGAGCAATATTTTGTTAACCTCGATGGTGTGCCCTGGGTGAGTTTAAAAATCTTCTTTGACGACTTCTGTGGTCAACGTTGTTAATGTTTTACATTAAAATTTTAAACTTCTCTTTGTATTCCAGTGTGGTGTTCTCTCTGTTCTTCATAATGAACTTGGTGCTGTGGGGCAAGGGTTCATCCGCGGCCGTCCCCTTCTCGACCTTGGTGGCTCTGCTCGCTCTCTGGTTTGGTGTCTCTGTACCGCTCACCTTCATCGGAGCTTACTTCGGTTTTAGGAAGAGGGTAAGTTGGAAAGAGAAACAAAATAGTCTTTATTCACCTAAGAATAGTTCATTTTACTTACATTACATATTACTTACATTACATACACATTACATAGACTGCACGGTTGGTGCGGTGGCTGGGCAACCGGCTGCCGTGCAACGTGTCGCGGGTTCGATTCCCGCACGGAACAAAACTTTGTGTGATCTACAAATTGTTGCTTCGGGTCTGGGTGTCATTGTGTATGTGAACTTGTATGTTTGTAAACGCACCCACGACACAGGAGAAAATCCTAGTGTGGGGCTACCTTTTAAAAAAAAAAATTTTTTTGATCAACTATAACCACGACCTGCGACTCTTTTGTGACTAATCTTTTATTTACATTTTACAGATCTTAGACCACCCAGTGCGCACGAACCAGATCCCGCGACAAATCCCGGAGCAGTCGTTATACACACAACCCGTTCCCGGCATCGTGATGGGAGGTGTACTGCCATTTGGATGTATCTTCATTCAGCTGTTCTTTATTCTCAACTCGCTTTGGTCCAGCCAGGTACGTTGCTCTAACATTTAAAAATCGATTTGATGGCTAAGTTATGTGCTGAGATACAGTATTATTTTTTCCATTTTGCATCTGCTATTATTACTTGTTGATTACCAAAAATTGAAGAAAACTTGTGGTTTTGTTTGTAGATGTACTACATGTTCGGTTTCCTGTTCCTGGTGTTCGTGATCCTGGTGATCACGTGCTCGGAGACGACGATCCTGTTGTGTTACTTCCACCTGTGCGCGGAGGACTACCACTGGTGGTGGCGCGCCTTCCTGAGCTCGGGCTCCACGGCCGGCTACTTGTTCATCTACTGCTGCCACTACTTCGTCACCAAGCTCAACATAGAGGACGCCGCCTCCACCTTCCTCTACTTCGGATACACCTTCATCATGGTCTTCTTATTTTTCCTCCTCACCGGCACTATCGGATTCATGGCCTGCTTCTGGTTCGTCAGAAAAATCTACAGTGTCGTCAAAGTCGATTAATTTACGCGGCGTTAGGTTAAGTATCGGGTGTTGGTACAGCGGTATTGACGAGTCCGTCGTGAGCGCCTATGTTATGTATAAAGCCGAGTTGTTACACCAAAGCGTTGTTTTTCTGAAAAATGCGCTATTTGTTGCGTGAGAACCTTCCGCCTAGTCCATTTGTTTATGACATGTCTTGTGTATTGATTGCCTGGAATAGTGACGAGATCAGTGCTAGGGGATTTTAATTAACAATAATAATATCGAATCACGGACACGACTACTATTGCATTGGATGTCGAGATGAGCCACGTGTCCACGTCAGCCCGGCCGCCCGCCGGCCTGTACTGCGGCAGTGGGACAAGTGAGACTGCTGTACACATTGTGATTAATTGTATAAAACTTTATAACGCTAATATAATAAATTGATAGTCCCTGTGCGTTTTTTAATCTTTTGTTTATTATTTAGATTTAATTTGAATGTTAGGTCGTATACATATTGACTGAAATCTCTGCACTATGTTGCAACAACTTTATTTGTAGTAGTGAGAATCCTCTTCAATGTGTATGCTGCCTTTAGTCGCTAGTTGTGTATTTTTTTTTCTGTGAATGGAAATTGAAGCTTATATTTATACCTACATATTTTTTATTTATTGTTTGACATCAGCTAATATTTACAACCCTGCACAAGAAAACTAGTTGGTGTATTTATCTCCGATTAAAACAATTGACTAATGTAGTACTTAACTGTGCCCTATACAATATCAAGGAATAGTAAAATAATGTGATTTACGAGTAAGTAATTCGATGATATTTTAAACCATGTATATTGCAATTAAAACATAAGTGAGATTAAGCATTTTTAAATAAAATTATTAGGAATAATGAATATTTCAGATCGATTTCGTTTCCCGTGTTGTCGTGTGGATGTGATGATTGGAACTGAATATTCAACGTAAATAATTGAATTAGGTTTCTCTATCAATAAAAATATGTAGTTAACATTTTCGGCGTGATAATTTAAAGTCGTGTTAGAACATTTTGAGTAGAATAAAAACGTCGACGAAATATTAGCAAAATTATAAAGGTATTGGGTAGTTTCGTATTCCTAAAATAAATTAAGAAACTATTACACTATAAATCCATACGATGACACTATTAGATTATGATTTTAGTATCTATTGTTTAAAAACACATGTATCGTATGCATATTATGCAATTTAATTTAAATGTAATTTTATTTTATCATTATTTTAAAATTATGCTTAGTTAATTGAAACAGTTGATTGTAAATAAAAAAAACTATTTTAAAACCGCCTTTAATTTTATTGTATAACATTAAATAAAAAAGATAAATTACTTAATCACTATCACTTTCAGAAAGCTCAGCCTTCTCTTTTGGTTGCAATGCTTTGCGTTTAAATTGTTTCCTCTTCTGATCAAGTTTAGTTTTACGGAATAACTCGATTGCCTTCATTTTGTTTTCTAATAAACTCCTTTTATCTTGCTCTCTTTGTGGGATTAGTTCTTGGAAACGGTCTGTTTTAGGTATTTTTATTTCGAGCTCCGATTTACCGTCTTTGATCTGTGTTACAACTTTTACACCTTGATTTAAAAGTACAGCTGCTTCTTCGCAATTTTTGCGTTGTTTCGCGGCCGATGGTCCAGCTTTATTTTTACTGTTAGTGGTATCTTTTTTCGTGGATTTTCTTTTTGGTGCTGCTGGTTTATTACTTGCATCAGCGTTCTCAATTTCTAACGCAAGAGGTCCTTCAGGGCCCATTTTTTGTACTGCGGCTTTAACCCTCTTACTCATTTGTTCTTCTAATGACTGGAATTCTACTTTTCTCTTGAAGAAGTCCTGCACGGATCTTTGCGTTTTACGATCTTGCATTCGTTTTAAAACTGGTTTGATAATTTCGTCTAATTTGTTTTGAGACCAACCAAACTTAGCTTTTGTATAATCTCGCAATATTGTAATGTCTAATTCGCCCCAAGTGAACTTGTCCTCACTTTTTTCTATGTTAGGTTCCAAGTAAGCCTGAACCACCTTAGAAATATAATGCATAAAATTATTAAGAAAATTGTTTATAGAAATTATGATAAAATTTAATAAAAAGTAACTTACCCGCACACTAGGAAATTCTTCAGTAAGAGCAACATTCTTGAGCTTTTTCTTCAAACTAGTGTTGTCAGTTCTCTTGCCTGCCCTCACCCATTGTTTGAATTCTTGTAATCCCTTCACCATTTGGGCATAACGAGCTTGCTTTGACTCTTCACTGAGCAATTGCCTTTTATTGAATGGGAATGATGCTAGAATCTCCATTGCTGTAACTGGGCCCACACCAGACAAACCCGTTGTGTAATCACTACCCACAAGCAATGCCAACAGAATAAGTTGTTCCCTATTTAAATCTGAAAGATTGAATAATAACATCTGTTATGCCATATGTTTCTAAGTTTGAACACGGATTTAAATTTAACTCGTCGAGTACCGTATTTATAGACACAATTAAAGAACAATAGGTTGCGGTCACCGGTGACCGCTTGGTGTTTGACAGTTTAACTCGTCAAGTACCGGTTTTGTAGACACAGTTATAGAACAATAGGTTGCGATCACCGGTGACCGCTTGGTGTTTGACAGTTTAAATAAAATTAAGCATAATGAGAAACAAAAATTAAAGGACTTACTAAAAGATTTTTCTATCCTCTCAGCTAAAAACTGCAAAACATGTTTCTTTTGGTTAAAGAAATTCTTATACACAGTTCTACCTCCAAACAACCAGATGTCACTGTCGTCAGTTATTGTTCCATCTGTTAGATTCACACTTTCTAGGAAGGCACATTGTGCTTCTGCCTCCATTGGGGCGACAATATAAGGAATGCCAAATATCTGAAGTAGTTCTTGAGCTTCCTTTGTCATTTGTTCAGTAATATTTCGCCCTATACGATCTAATCTCCCCTTCTCTTGCATTAAATCTTGTTCTTCATTTTGTATATCTTCAACCATGGAGGTCAGTTGTTCTGTAGTTAAGGTTTGTTTAGGTGGATTAGGTGTTTTTATGAGATGGTTTTGTTTTTCTGGTTCCACAATTACATCTGCACTTTCACTTGATTTTGCAGGTTCTACATTATCTTGAATTACAGTATTGGCTGCATTATCTACATTTGTTTCACTTGGTTTTTCAGGATTCTTTTCGCTTTCACTATCTGGATTTAAATTGGTTAGTGGGATAATTTTAGAACTAGTTTTAAGTACAGGAACCTCAGGTACTTTAAATACATTATCTACTAAAATACTTTTAGGTGTTAACACCTCATTATCGACTTTAGTTTCATTTATTGCTTTATTTTTATCTTCTTTAGGATGCTCTGGTTTTTCAAAGATATCTGCAAATATATCATCGTCAGGTGCATTGCCCATATTTAAAGTAAGTTCAACAACAGGTTTTTTAACTTCAGTATTCTCTTCAGGTACTTCTTCAAAATCACTATCACTAGATTCATTTTCAGACTTATTATCACTATTCGCGACTTCTTCAATTTCATCACTGGAATTACTTTCCTGTGTTACGTTTTCTGATGGTAAAACAGTTTTAATATTTTCTACTTCCTCTATGCTAGAATCAAGATCTATGACTTCTTGCACTGGATTTTCAACACAAATTACTGATGCTTGAGTGGAATCTAAATATTTATCTGTGTCTTGATCATCTGAAGATGAAGTATTCTCTTCAATGGCAGTGATTTTATTATTTTCTTCGCTACTACTAATTATTACAGGACTTTCATCATCTTCATCACCAGATGACAGTTGCACATTATCAACTATTATTGACTTTTCTTTGTTAATTTCATTCAATATCTCATCCACTTTAGGTATTTTTTTCTTACTTTTACCTTTATGTCTATCAGTAACAATTTTATCAATAGCTTGGTGTGTGAAATCACTATATTGCATGATGTAAGCTTTAGCACATGTCATATCTGGTTGTTCAAAGCCATCACCTTCTTCTGAATCAGTATCAGAATAATCGGTGTCTGTCATGCAAGATGTCCATGAGTCATCAGTTTTAGAAACTACACTTGTATCTTGTTTGGGTTCATCAACACACTCTAAGGACATTTGGATTGCTTTTTGTAAATCATCTTCTAACTCATCAAGTTTTTTGGGGGATTCTTCCTTAATTTCTGTTATTTCAGTATCTTTACTTGTTGTTGCTTTAATATTATCATCTTTTTCACTAATTTCTTCAATTTTGCTTGTAGTGGGGTTGTTTTGAGCTTGATTTCTTTGCTTTGCTTCCGCTAAAGCTTTTTTAACATCTCTGATAAGTAAAAATCGTGTAGAAACATTAGAAGCAATGCGTTTTGTGGGAAGTGTATCTATTTTAGTATCAATGCCTTCTTCATTTAGTAAAGATTCTAAATCATTTAAAGACATGCCCGTATCACCCATTTCTTTCTCAGTCTCCTCAAGACATTCTTGTACTTTTCTTCTTTTTAATAGCCTTTGCATCTGTAATAAATTATAAATAATCATTATATCTTATTATTTTTTAATATTGCTGGTAATCATCTATTACTAAAAAAATTACTTGAAAATCTGAAAATGTGTTGCTCTCCTTTGGCAACTCATGTAATCTGCCCCACGAATTCATTTTCCTAGTTTCCTTAAGTTCTATAAGGACATCATATTTTTCTTTGACTCCTAAATTTTTGAAAGTTTCCGACTGTATGTCTATCGAATGTACATCAATACTAGACCCACTTGAATTTTGTTCATCTTCAGATCTGAAACATGGAATAAATGGTTAATTTTGATTCATGGGGGCAAATAACTAATAGTAACAATCAAAGTTTTAAATATTATTTTGGTGAAATGTGCTCTCAAATTGAATATTAATACCTAGATAATCTCTCAAAATAAATGTTACTAGAACTCACTCAGATTCACTTTCATCTTCTTTTTGTGGTAATGCTGGCAATTTGAAAATGTCATCTTTGTCTATAGATGTTTGGCCACTTTTTGGTGGTGTTATTTCTTTGCCCAATATACTGCTTACGGCTGTCTTCTTACTCAATAATAATGCAAGCTCTCTTTTTATTCTTTCAGATTCTGAATTATATTTCGCTTTACTGTCTTGCCTCTTGGCCTAAAATTTTTATTTTTTAATTACTTATATAAAAAAGGACATAAAAACATGTTTTCATACATTAAAAGTTTGAAATCACCGAATCAGACTTACAATAGTTTCCTTTTTCAATTCTGGAAATGCTCCATCAAATACAAAGACTGGTTTAATTCTAAAGTATAACAGTTTGCAGAGACGTTGGAACAGTCCCATAAGATGAGCATTTGGTATAGGAGCTCCTTTTGCATCTTGATATCCTTTTACCATCTGATGCAACCATATTGATATGTCTGATAAAAACAAACAAGTCAAAACATGTTTAATAAACTAAAGTTTGCTAAACTGCCCAACATAATAATTAGCAATAGCTTATTTGATTGGCACTAGGTCACTATCTTACCGACTGCCAGCACTTTGTTTTCCAAAGTCTCGACCGGCACGGGTTTGCCGGCTGGCTCTATTAGCCTCCACAGTCCAGTGACTCCCATCGCGTGCGATTAAATTCCAGAATAGATTTTTTGTTTATACTAATGTATATATCAGTGTACATAACAAAGGTCGTTTCCCACGAGATCTCCGGTCAATCGTCGGTCTCTTCCTCACACATCGCAACTATTTCGCTCCATGAGCTCAATGTACCCACTAGGGCTACGCACACATCTACAAAACGAAACGATTGCTACTGGTGCACTGCGTTCGTAAATATGTGTTCGGTTCACTACAACATATCAAATGTTTTACTACGCCGCGAACGCCCACTCTTTCCCACACTTTATTTTCTCACGCCCCATGCGTAACCCCACATCCTATGACCGGCCGACTGTCAGTCGCGCGTCGCAGGTCGACCGATCCCTCATCGACTCGACTCGATTCTGTCGATTCGCGCGCGTGTAGTCGACAACACGCCTGCAAACAGCTCCGTGTCTATGGTCAAACTTTGACAGCTCGCGCATCTGGCGTTGTCGTATTTATACTCGAATAAACAGAAGTTTCGTCAACTTTTAATAAAATAAAATCATAAATCGGAAACTGCTGGGTTGAGGACGAGGACCAGCGTCCCCCAGTCGCGAGTGACATTCGATGTAACGGCACCCCATCCCGTCCGAAAATACCATCGTCGAACAGGTGTCTCGAACGAAATGTGTGCCAGTTCCCAGCGTAATTAACTGACGGGGGGCGTGAATAATACAAAAGTGTATCGATCGCTGAGATAATCGGTCGCGGGGGACACGGCGTCTCTGCTAAACCGACTCGGTGGGCGCTCGCCCTCCGGTCAAGAACCAGATAGGACGCTCGAACCGAGTACTGAACTGCCGGCGATGTTCCACCGGAGAAGTGACACTACCTAGGGAAACAAGAGCATCACACTGCGCGACCCTCAGTCGGGTGCGCGCTATGCGGGCGGCAGCAAGGTGAAGGCAGCCGTGGCGAGCATGCCGCACCAGTTCGGCGGGGCGGGCGCGGGCGCGGGTGCGCTGGCGGGCGGCGCCTCGCCGCCTGCGCAGCACGCGGCGCTATTCCCGCGATATGGCGGCGCAGCAGGTCCTGGCGCCGGTGCCTATCGTCCAGAAGAACGTCGTCTTACTCGTGAAGCCATGGAACGCTATCTCCGCGACCGTTCCGACATGGTCGTAGTTATCCTACACGCGAAGGTAGCTCAGAAATCTTATGGAAACGAGAAAAGGTTCTTCTGTCCGCCACCGTGTATCTATCTGTTTGGAGATGGTTGGCGACTGCGGCGTGAGCGCATGCTTCGAGAGGGAGAGACTGAGCAGGCAGCACAGCTGTGTGCATTTATTGGCATTGGTAACTCTGACCAGGACATGCAGCAGCTGGACCTCAACAATGGCAAACAGTACTGTGCTGCCAAGACCCTGTACATATCTGATTCTGATAAGAGAAAGCATTTTATGCTGTCGGTGAAGATGTTTTATGGTAATGGGCATGACATTGGTATTTTTAATAGCAAGAGGATAAAAGTAATATCAAAGCCGTCAAAAAAGAAGCAATCCCTAAAGAATGCAGACTTGTGCATTGCAAGTGGAACAAAGGTAGCTCTGTTTAATAGGTTGAGGTCACAAACAGTATCAACGAGGTATCTGCATGTGGAGAATGGTAACTTCCATGCGTCATCCACACAATGGGGAGCGTTCACAATACACCTGCTGGATGACAATGAGAGTGAGTCTGAAGAGTTTGCTGTGAGAGATGGATATGTTCACTATGGATCTACTGTGAAGCTAGTATGCTCCGTAACAGGCATGGCGCTACCCAGATTAATAATTAGAAAGGTATGGTCACTGTTTCTGATATTCTCATAATATTCTGCTTCTTTTTTTATCTTTAATGCTACACCAAAAGTTAAAAAATATTTTTTTATAACCACCTTGATAAATTCTTCCATAATATACAAGTTGTTAGCATACCTATGTTAAGTTGTTTAGAGTCAATTTGAAGTTGTTATTATAGTTTCCTTTGGTTGCTGAAAAATCACCCTTATGCATCATTCTGCTGTAGTGTTTGGTAATTGTATCAAAATAATTCTATCAACAACATTTAATAAATCATAATTATTTTTATTGTTATTATAAAAATTCCACATAAGTAACAAATCATGATGATATTATTAGTTAATAAAGATAATGCTCTAAAATCACTCTACAAATTAATCATACCAACAACATATTGATAAAACATAATGTTGGTTTGATGTATGGACCTTGATCTTGACTGTGCTTTAATATGTTTTTCTAAATGAAAAGTAATAAGGTGCATTGTATTTAAGAGATGCACAATGTATTTTTTATTATAAGCGACAGACAAAAAAACCTAACCACACTAATCATGTCTCACATGTGTAACTAAAATAAAGCCTTGTTTAAATTACCTAGAAAACCAAATTCCTAGAAGGTAGTATACTGTAACAGATACTCATGGAAAGTAATAACTAAGTAAAAAAATAAGTAGAATATTCTTTCAATAAAAAGACATCATATTTCTTCTAAATTAGTCTAAAAATTTTTAATCCAACAGGTGGATAAGCAAATGGCCTTATTAGAAGCAGATGACCCAGTATCCCAACTGCATAAATGTGCATTTTATATGAAGGACACGGAACGCATGTATTTGTGTCTATCACAAGAGAGAATAATACAATTTCAAGCTACACCATGCCCTAAGGAACCTAATAAGGAGATGATCAATGATGGAGCTTGCTGGACCATAATATCCACAGATAAAGCTGAATACCAATTTTATGAGGGCATGGGACCTGTAAGGTATGTGCTATAAATTATTACATTATTTGTAAGGCCAAGATTAATTTTGAAAAATAAAATTTTTAGGGCTAAATGAAGTTGATGAAATGTTGAGACTATTAGAAATATTAAAGATAAATAATAATTAAAAATAGTTCTAAATTAACGAACTTTGTTGGTTGTGGTCAATTAAAAATGTTTTATATTTTTTATGCATGGAAACCAAAGATATGATTAACCACAAAAATGATAAAAACTTATATTTAGGTACACATGTTAAGGACCACATAATTTGATCACTTCCTGTATTTTATACAATTGTATTTATAATACCAATTTTTCCCAGTTCCCAGGCAGGATAATTTTATTTATAAAATCTTTTTAACTAACTAGAAACTGAATTTTGTCTATTTAAAATACATTGTTACTATTTATTATCTACGAAAATAGAGATAACTAATAGCCCTGTGATTAACGAATGGGTTGGTAAATGTAAACACACTTAACACTACAATTTATATCATTTTTGTGTATCATTCTAATATACATAGCACTATGGGACTCTAACGATATGCAAAGCACGAATGCTACCATGACACGTAGACCTTCACCACCGCACCCGACGGCACTAGTTTACCTCTGATAACTACCATCAAACAAAAGAAAACAAAGGAAATTCACACGTTAATAATAACATTGAAATTTTGACGCCCTGGGAACATCTTCCCCAAACATAATCAATATTTTTCCACACTGTGTTGTGAAAACCTGTTTTAAATTAGGTACCAACACTGTTCGTAGCAATATTTATAGCATCATATGAAAGAAAACATAGTGAAAATTCGCACGCTCATCATAACACGTAATGTATACCCTGGGAACTTAGTAGCTGTCACACTAACATAAGCGATTGGTCTGACGTCGTTGTCTAACTGGCTAAGTGAGGCGACAAATGGTTTGAACCTAACATAACGTTATGCCTGTTGTCCCCTAAGGGGAGATGTGATTACCTACAGTACACTACATAATCAAGATTTATATTAGTCTCATGTAATGGGAATCCGACACAAATCCTACAGCTTTTTCTTTCTGAATAGAAGACATAATAAAATATTTTTTGCACGAACCAATAATTTAAAGTTCTAAGTAACATTATGTTTGCAACAACTAGGTCGGCTAATCAATAATTCTCTTGTGAGTACTTACAAGGCAGTGAATTGTTAGCTATCGTTCCTTACTCGGAACATAAATCGATGGACTCGACTCGACTTCAGGGAAACGTAATTTGTATAAATAATGCAAATAAAACCTAATAGTTTGTCGCAAAACAAATATTTTTAAAGTATGGATTTGCTGTCTATCATTTTCTAATGGCCCACAATATTAAATTACCATTTAAAAAGATCCAAATAAGTAACTCGATGCACAGAGGTCACCCCTAAACTCGTTTCGCCACCCCTGCATTTTAGTTTCACCCTATGTGAGTTGCACTTCAAAAACATATTGATGTGTTTTAGTATTGGCTATATTGTTCCCTTGTGCCAATTTTATTTCGCTTGGAGACCACAGATTTAGCTGATTGATTTTATTAGTCGCGTCTAGGGGACCTCTGACATGGTGTTTGTTGATGGCCGAAGTGTTTTTTATTAACGCTTTTGTCCCGAATACTGGACGATTTCAAATATTTTTCTTTCTTATGTCATATTTATTCAAAGCTGTAAATGGTAGTTTCTTTGCGGTAACTTAAAGACTTTACTTCCTGAACATTTTTAAGACTTCTAGTATTAGTAAAATACAAAAGCGAATGCGATAAATTAGAATTCACAAAACAAACTTTATTTCCTAAAAAGTTTTAACCAAAAGGTCGCCCTTTGGTAAATTTAAAAGTCCACTTAAAGTTGATATCTACATATGTATTTTGAAAAAGTTGTATTTATCAAACACGACACCAGAACTTTTAACAGCTCTAAACAATTTTACTTTTGGTACCCAATTTTTTTGTTGAACTGGCAAATAATAACCAAATTCTTTCCATCCAGGTCTCCCGTAACTCCAGTGCCGCTAGTCCACTCACTAAACCTCAATGGTGGCGGTGACGTAGCAATGTTGGAGTTGGCTGGTGATAACTTCACGCCATCTTTACAAGTGTGGTTCGGTGACGTCGAGGCGGAGACGATGTACCGCTGTGCTGAGTCCATGCTCTGCGTCGTACCTGACATCTCACAGTTCCGAGGACAATGGCTCTGGGTCCGACAGCCGACGCAGGTAACTTCAGTTTAGGAATTGAAGCTTTTATTGGTGGTCAATTTTTCGATTTGTGGCGCACCAATGGCGCTCCTATCGCATTGTGTAAATAGAAGGCTAATCTGTTTTTATTACATTTGCTTAATTCTATTTGAGTCCTTCTAGTCACATGTATTATCACTACATAATATAAAACAAAGTCGCTATCCGCGGTCTGTCTGTCCCTGTGTATGCTTAGATCTTTAAAACTACGCAACGGATTTTGATGCGGTTTTTTAATAGATAGAGTGATTCTTAAGAATGGTTTATATGTATGATACATGCATATTGCACCCGTGCGTTGCAGCTGGGGCGGGTCTATTTAACAATAATTCGCTAGACTCGACTAAAAATAGGGAATAATAAAATATTTAACTACTAACGCTATAAAGTCGCGAATCGGAAACTCTACTTTTAATATTTTTTGCAAACCTCCTGTTCTCACACAAATACAGACATTGGACGGGCACTACGAAACAAATGTATATCTTTTATTACGTACAATTTAACGGGTCCCTATTCACATAATCTCCGTTGTCAGGAAGTGAGCGTCGCGATCACACCGCTTAATAGTTGGACGCTTTAAATAAATTTTGTCGTGAGAACTCGGCCGCCAGCATTTTCAAAATACAACTGTTATGATATGTCGCCGAAAGGACGCACCTGTGTCTATGAGTGATTTGAAAACAATCGACACAATATACAAACAATAACAAAGTTATTAATGCGTACAATTAGCTGAGGACGATTGTTCTAAGTCTATTAAACTAGAACATCTGGTGGGCTGCATGTGGCTAGCTTCTATATTTATATTGAAGCTGAAGAGATTGTTTGTTTTATCGCTAAGCTGTAGTCTGGCTTATGACTATAATAGAATTGTATTTTTTTTTATTAAACTTGTTGAGGAAGTTCTATACTTTCAAATAATATGCTAGAAACATCAGAACAAAAAGCAAAACTATCAGACTATGACAATTAACAAGTCAACATAACAAGACCAAATATTCCGAAGGCGGGCTACTAATTGAAACCCTATTGTAAAAGAGGATAAAACATGCAGAATTTAAAAAACAGAAAACCTTCCTAGATTTTGCTCAAATTCCAGTTCGAGTCTACTGGATGAACTTCTACTGGACTTATCCAGTTTAAGTATTAATTAGTCGGCTAGTTATCAATTAAAACTGGATTCGTAATATTAATTTGTAATACGTTTCACATGAATTTACATGCAAAATTCATATAAATAGGAATTCTAATTTGTAACATTTTATTTCTTAGAATTGCAACCCTCTAGCAGTGTAGTAGATCGATATAATAATACGGTCTGCCTTTGATAGGAGCTTGCATAATTTATGTGTCACTGGAAATAAATGGCTCGGCACCTTAGTACTGGTATAATAGGTGTATATCGTAGACAGGGAGGCATTTTTGTTGATTATAGTTCGATATTATTAGCCAATAACTGCTATGTCTGTAACTAGTGATTTTATTATTGGTCTATCGACAATGCTTCTGTGTATAACGCTGTGGAAACATGTCTCAGCCCTCGCTAGTATCACACTGAGAATTAAATACATAATGCAATTGAATAGTATTCTCGTCCGCTTCAGGTGCCGGTGTCGCTGGTGAGGAACGACGGCATAATATACGCGACGGGTCTGACGTTCACGTACACGCCGGAGCCGGGCCCGCGGGCCGCGTGCGCGCCCGTGGACGACGTGATGCGGCCGGACGCGGCGCCCGCCTGGCACCACGAGCACGGCGCGCACCGCCTGCCCGACAACACGCTGCAATAGCCCATGGACTGCAGGCTGGACGACGACAGCCTGCAGTTATAAACTCACTCGTGGCAACTCTAAAACTGTGTTATGTGACTCCAAAGAAGCGAGCCGTCTCGTACAACGGACAAGTGACTTTCGCACGAAAGACATTTGGTGAGTGATTCAAAGACATACCTAATGTATAATTTCGATAGTGCCTAATGTCTATTCATCATAGCATGATCTCTGGCGAGGTTTGTGCTGCACACTGGATGGACGGGTAATATTTTTGAAAATTGTATTTTAAGTCGTTCAAATGAAATGTATGCTGTTAGAAATGGCGTAAATATTTTATTCGCGCAAGCATGTTGCGTCAGTGACTCGACCTGCTTATTGAGGCGGTGTCTCCAGGAGGGGGAATGTACAATAGAAAATATGTAGCTCATTAGATTGTGCAATATTTAACGATTTTACTTTTGCGACTGATTCCATGATGACAGAAGCGCACGTGGATATACGTACACTCGGTACACTGTACAGGTCTCTCTCGTGGAGATGTGGCCCTAATACTGGGTATCAGAACTCTTTGAGAGCTAAGTTTAACAGATCATGTTACGGTCTATAGAGTGTAGAAAGCTTTATTATTAATGAAAGTGCCACTTTGCGAGGCGATCGCTTTGCTTGAGAGCTTAGACCGCAAGGCGCCGCAGAATACTATGTCAACACGAACGACGTGTGCCTAAATATATCGTAAAACTATATGTTTGTATATCTACGAGATTATTACACCAAAACTATGATTAAGGTTAAAATTCAGCAATAAAAGCAAGTTGTGACAAGAAAATATAAAATAGAAGAATTTGTGATAAATACTGAGTAGGCTCTACTGTGTTTTGAGACGTGACAATTGATTGGTTGCAGCTATGGAAATTATTTTTATGTTATTTTTAAGGATTTATTTGAAAGTGTTACAAACTGGTATAGGACTGATAGACAAGTAGAGCTGTACGTATGAATATGTAATCTATTCCGCTGTATCAATTATTCCTGTTGTCACACGGTTAGCGGGTTGAAACTGGGCCAATAACTCTTGTTATAAAATCAATAACTGCGATGTTACCTGCGATACCTTTATGTTCATAATATCGCTGATTAATGGCTGTTTGTCTCAGAAGGTTTTTTTTATTTCTTCTCCATAATATTGACGAGGCCCACTTACTATAACATTCTGAGTAAAGTCGTACATTGCTTTTGAATGAAGTAGAAGATTTTGCATTTTATATTTACGCTGTGCGTGAAAAAAGATTAGGAAGAAAAAAGAAGATTAAAAAGATTAATCTTATTTTTTGAACAATTAAATAAGAGTAAGGTCTGGCCTAATTTGCCTAAAGTGAAGATTTGATGAGGTACAGTCAATAGAAATATTTTTCTCACATATTGATACTCAGGGGTTTTTGCGCTTATTTCAACCAGTTAGCTATAAGCACTGTCCACTACGTCGATATATATAGAATATTTTACTACCTTCTTAATTCCTAGTCCTAATAATGATTTCACATTTCTTACCAATTTTACTCGCCATTAAAAACGCTTTTGGTATGCACAACTAGTTTTAAATTACTCGCAATAATTGCCAACAGAGCTCGTCGAAGCATTGTTTGTAAAATGTTCTGATAGGTAAACAGGGAGGTAGTTCCTACTCCGGCATTTAATATACACCAATATTAATAGTTCGTTCATTGTCATCGTCATATAAAGAGATCTCTCTGCTCTTAGATTTGTTTCTTTGGGGCCAAATAGTTGTAATATCCATGACAAGTCATTGCGTTTATACTATAATACTATTCTAACTTTATATAAGTTTACGTTTGTTTGGGTAAAGGAAAATGAACTCTACGAGATTTATTTTAAGAGTGATTTTAATGTAATTGGTTTGTATAAATTAAGTAGATATCCTAGATGATTAGTTAGTTACAAATTGAGTTAGAAAAGAGCCAAATAAGTCCTTTTATCTCAGAATACTTGGTGAAGTATTTGTTTCTTTACATTGCTTTAGTTGTTTACGTACCGACTATGTTTGCTTCTGTGCCCGCAAGTCAATCGGTCTCAATGTGTATGCACAATTTATCTAATCAACTACACTTGGTTGACGATTATAATAAAATTCATTAAAGACACCGAGTGTGTCGTTGTACGTATGTATATTTACGGAGATTTTAAACGAACAATACATGTAGTTTTAGCTAGCATTAGTCCATAGCACTGCATGAGCTCTGCACATCGGACGCGATGCGACGCGAGTCGGACACAGATTATTTTATTATTTGTTGTGTAAAACTCTTCGCACACACGATGTCCTCGTCACGTGCACGTCGCGCTCGATGTGCAGACCTCGCAAATAATTAAATGATAACAAAATGAAATTATAAATTTTACAAATTCTATTTATTTTATGCCAATATAATTTCTTTCGAGAAATGTATTGTTTTTTGAAAACGGATTTGATGTGTATTTTTAATAAAAACGTGTGATTTCGAACATTCCATGTGGAAAGTGTAATAAGAAGTACAAAAAATATCAATATTTTTGTAGCAAAACATTGAATTACGATATAATCTTATGGAATTGGTAAAGTTACAGTATTACAAGGAAATTAGTATTAAACGCGATGAATAGACAGTAATAATGTCGTCAATTTTGTAAAACGATAAGTAAATGATTTGTCATTTAAAAACTGTTTACTCCTTTTTATCATTTTACATTTGGTATTTCTATATTTGGAAATGGTCATATTTAAGCGGTTACTGCTCGGATGCGACATTGCGAGCCGGGTGTACAAACTGTACAAAGCGTGTACAACAAATGATAAAGGAGCAGTGATTCTGAAATATGAATAAATATTTTTTAATAAAAACTGAATTTAATTAACGACGTTTTTCATTAATTCCACCCCACATGATTAAGATACAAAAGCAACATTCTAGAATAATTAAAATACATTTCTCACAGTCGAACTGTTTTGCGCAAAGCGGATCTCATTGGTTTATTTCTCATTGTTTTAATTATAAACGAGGGGTCAAGTGTAATTATCTGCTTATGAATCAGTGTTAATCGAGGAATCAGTGCCTCGGCCGAAGTCTGTGGGAACGTCTTCAAAAAGTCTTCACATGATAATAACAAGTGTCTTCCCCTACATACCGTTCCGCAACGCTGGGTTTGACCTCAGATAATTATCACAAGTTTATACCCATTCCGCCATTGTTCGCTGCCGAGATTCACGGCAATAAACTGGCTAATATTTATGACATGTGCTCGCTCTGGGAAGTTCGACTGTCACAATATAAATTGGAACATAATTGAGTCAATTGATCTCCGATCTCTGGGGCTTGTCTGAGGTCCGGAGTCATATATTAGACTGTGAGCACGTCACAGAACGCCGTCATACATTGCGATGGTGTTGATGGGAATTTAATTCTAAGTATTCATAGTGTAATTACATTCATGCAATGAGTGACGCCGGTCTACGTAAGAGATTATTATTTTCTTGATCGTGTCGGTTAAACACTTGGAAAATCAAGAAAACTGATGACATAACCGTAATGATGGATACTGTTCGAATAATCACAGGGTTTACCCATGTCCTGTTTCCGTGTCTTAATTGCCACCGTTCTATAATACAGACGCGAACTTATCAACTACAAGTTATCTCTATCACATCATGAGTTAGTGCAGGATCTCTGTAATTCAATTATCTACCTAATTATTATTATTGTCTTCTAGAATTAATTACTTTTATAGTTCCTTTAATTTTTATAATAATTTACAAACTTTGAATTATTAATGCATCGACATCGTAAACCTTGAAGGTAAAAAAAATTACTATAACAAGAACTGAAAAGTTGGTATTAATAACTAATAACAATAAATAAAAGTTCTGTTCATTAAAATCACTCACTACATATTTTCGTCATGGATGAGAAGCTAATCTTTAGCTATCCATAATATACGCGTACAAAGTGTTACGTTTCTTTCCGTAGCCTCCGTTGGCTCAGGCCGCTCAGGCTGTGCGTCGCGTGACTGCTAACATTATTTCCCAATCGGTGACGTGCACAAGAAATTATGACGTTATACAGCACATGCACGTAACTATTCATTCATGAAGCTGCAAAAAATGTCATTGTGTTGAAAGAACAGGGCTAATACATCCTGCTCGATAATCACTAATCAGGGAAAACTACACGACAGGTTTTCCCTAATCAGGATCCTTTTTGGCACCGTTTGAACCGGAACATCGGTTGGTCATTTACCTTCACCAATTAACCGTATGACGATTATATCTATGCTGGCTGTGAGAAATCTGTGTGCACACAATTGAATCATTGTCTACGTTTTTACATTCTGCCAAGTTGATCTATGGTGCCGAGATATGCAGAGTGTGGGAAATGTTCAGCGGTGCACTGTTCCAATGTTTTCCAACATGTCATCTTCGGTCGTGAGAACTGTAGCTAAGATACACCAATCTTATATTAGGTGCTCAGCAATTATGTTATTTATTCGTTTATCTTTAATTTATTTTTAAACTTGTTTTTCAAATCTCCAAAGGACGTCCTCTAATAATCACGACAAAAACAAGATCGTAATCTTAACAAAAATATGATGGAAATGGTGTATTTTAAAGTTATTAAGCTGGTAAATATTTTCGTTTGTTCTCGTAATTTTCCGTAATTCGTGTGTTTTTCGCATTGGCCATTCAGAGCTTGGTGGGTGGAGCATATTGTTAAGCCAAAACGCCCATTGTTTTCGGACAAAAAATAGTTTGCTTGTGACGTAGATAGGTAGTATCTAGTTAGGTAGATTCACGTCTGTTACAGTCAAAGCTATTACTTCGTAAGTAGGTACCCAACTGCTAAGTAGATATTAGTATCTAAAGACTCGTAAACCTACATTGTTAGAATTGGTAAGTATCCCAATACTTTGTTTTGCAATAAAATTGTTTTTTAATGTAAAATTTATTAGTAGAATGATTATTGACTATAATTCATAGCAGTTTTATTACTGATCTTGGAATTCCCATTAAAGTAATCTTTATATTTCGTGCTTAAAACTGCAATTATCGAGACAAGGTAGATACTAAAACATTTCATGAATGTTAACTACAATACATTAAGAATTTAGCCCCTAGACCAGCGGTGGCCAACTTGATTAGACATAATATCTACAACCGAAACTTACTAACGAAATCCTGTGCGATGAAACAGCTTAAATGAAACAGCAGTGTTTAGTACCGACATAAACATAAAATATTTATTTTTATTGAACAGTGTTAGGAGTTCCTTTTCGTATCACATTTATGATTGTTTCCTTAAATTTACTTAAATCGAGAATAGAAGTCTTGGATTGATGATGTTTAATGAACATTTATAGGTCCCATCTACCTATATATTAATATGAGCATTCTCGCAGTATCTTCCACTAGTTTGGCATAATCAGGTTTTAATTTGGAAATTGCCAACCTTAAAAAATCCAATGTATGAGTGTCTTTCAAGCGAGAACGGTGTTTTTTTTTTTTGTTTTTTAAGTAGGAAAATGCTGACTCGCAAGAATATGTTGAAGCAAAACACGAATGAAGTTGTTCAACACATTTCTTTAAATATGGAGATTTTTCGTTGGAAATCAATGCCCAGAAATCTTGATCTTGCCACTTAGATTCTTTTTGCATTGCCACGATCGACTGGACAAATGATCGTGATCGACCGGTTAGCAACCCCTACCTTAGACAAATGACATTTAAACATTATAGTCGCAAGAGTGAATAGAAAAGTCAATGTTTAGTTTGAATCTGCCCGACATTCGACAAATTGTGTATTTTTATTGGTCAAAAATAAATTGTTTGGACGTTTCAGTACGTACAATAAAATATTTAAAAAGAATCGCATTTTCATTGTCAATACATATTTTCAGCTTATTTCCTAGGAATAAGTCGAGTTCCTCGTTAAACAGTTTCGGGAGTAAGCCGAAAACATAATAATTAATTAGGAATAAGTATCCTATCTGACGCTATAAAAGTTTTCTTTTCGATAAAGGTATACTGAATTTGACTAGTAGAAAACTAACCTATTACCTACGTTAGAACTTATATCAAGTACGTTTTATATTCAAATGATATTTTCTAGACTGAAGGACATGTATACTCGGATAGATACTTAGAATGTAGTACGTGAGTCACTACTCCTTATCCTGATACCTATTCGTCACAGGCTATAACTAGGACATAATTATACCTACTCAATAGTTATCTTCTAAATCCACGCTGGCAAAACCGAGAAGATCCGCCTGCGGCTTTTTTTTAAGGGGGGAAAATCATCGAATGACATCTCCCGCCTGGGTGAGGCGGGAGGGAGTGTCAGACTCTTACTGACTAAAAACCACCCCGTTCCTTCTCCTGCACGCCGAGCCGGAGCCCCGGTTACTCGTTAGGTTTTCCGAGTGTTCTATACTTAAATGTGTATAAGTTCTTAACACTACCATTTCCTAAGCCGATAGTAATACTAGATACCTACCTGGTGTTATCAGATCCTGTGATTAAGTCAGCTTCCTCGGCGTTGAATGAGAGATCATCTCTTAGTTGCAATTACATATGTGCATAGTGACGCAACCGTAATGCATGGCGTACGGAAGTTAGGTACTGCTCAGTGGCGTAACTACAGGATGGCAAGTCGGTAAAATGCCACGGACTCCCCTCACCTGACACCTATTCTTACTATATGGGGAAGAGGGGCTCATCCAATGAATTTGCCATGGGCCCCGAACGATAATGGTTACGCCTCTGGTACTGCTGTACCTATATTTACTTTAGGTAGCGGGTATATAGATTTTATACATTAGTAGATTCAGCAAGACATTTCAGCAATATTTACAAATTTTAAATGTTAGTAAGTTTTGATATAGTTTGTTTGAAATACTTTCAACGGAATTAAATTTGTTGTCTTTGTTCAGTTTTTTTTAAGGAGGGAAAATCATCGAATAACTGCTCTCGCCTGGGTGAGGCGGGAGGGAGTGTCACGGGTCTTACTGACTAAAAACCACCCCGTTCCTTCTCCTTTGAGCTGGAGCTCCCCGGTAACCCGTTAGGTTCTCCGCAACATCTTTGTTCAGTTAGGTATTCATGAACAGAAATAAACAATTGTTAACACAAACAGTTGTGTACCTAATAAGAGATAATAGTGTCATTGAAATTAAATGAAATAATTGTTCATTTCTGTTACAAAGTAACACTTATACTCGACACTTTTAAATTAAACCAGACATTGTAATAGAAAGAGCCTATTGCAATTCTTCGCGTACAGTTTCATATTTCTGCCTGTTGTTAAGAAGTTGAATGATGCATTTGAAAGGAAAGGTATGAAAGTAAATGTGAACAAGACGAAAGTGTTGGTGATAGAAAGAAATGAGGTGATAACAGAATGTCAGGTAATGATAGGTGATGAAAAATTGGAACAAGTGAATGAATTTGTGTATCTGGGATCACTATTTACGAGAGATGGAAAGTGTGACGGGGATATTGAAAGGAGAGTGAAAGCGGGAAATAGTGTTAATGGTGCTTTACACTCTGTCATGTCGAGTAAAATAATATCCAGCAAAGCTCGACTTGCTGTAATGCAGTGTGTATTGACACCAACGCTTATGTATGGTAGTGAATCATGGGTGTGGCAGAAGAAGCATGAAAGCAGGATTAATGCGGTGGAAATGAGAGCCCTAAGAAGTATGTGTGGACTAAAATTGAGTGATCGAGTGAAAAATAGTGTTATTAGAGAAAGGTGTGGATTGAAAGATGATGTAGTGACAAGGATTGAAAAGGGAATGTTACGCTGGTTTGGACATGTAAAAAGGATGGATGAAAGTAGAGTAACGAAGGAAGTATACAGAGC